GGGGGGGGAATTGGCGGCCTTGGTGGCTGGCAGCCACTCAGGCCGCGCCGCTGGTGTCCGGGGACGGGGAAGGCTTACCTCCTGCTGCTTCCTCCTCCTCCTGCTCTGTGTGAAGCTCTTCTCCCCCCCTCCGTGAGTATCGCGGGTCCCCTCTCTTGTTTATAATATTATCATTATTGTAAACTCTCCTCCTTGTCTCTTTGTCAGCCCAAAGCGAAGTTGCAAGTGGCATTTTAACTTCAGGGTTTTTTTCACTTACCACTTTTGATGACTTGCCGTCTATATTCAACCAGTTGCAAGTCCAAGATAGCTTAGCAGTGTCATGACAGGCTTTAATATTGGGGATAGGAAAACTACCCGAGGACCCTTTAGCCCAAGCAACCATCCAACTTACTTTGGGTTTCTTAGATCTCCAAATAAATGCATGAAAGTTTTATTGCCACTCTTTTAAAGATTTTATCGCTAGCAACGTAACGGGTGTTCAATTATAGATGAATCAGTTTTGCTATTAACATAATCTTAATGGCGTCGGTATGTCCCAAGATGGATAGATTAAATGATTTCCATGATGCAAGGCTTTTATGTAATGCCGTATATCACTGGTTTACAGTTATCCTCAATTATATTATTGTTCTGGCATCTTAAGAACATAAGAGACGCCAATGTTGGATCAGGCCAAAGGCCCATCCAGTCCAACACTCTGTCACACAGTGGCCAGAAATACCAGTGCCATCAGGAGGTCCAGCAGTGGGGCCAGGACATTAGAAGCCCTCCCACTGTTGACCCCCCCCCAAGCACCAAGAAGACAGAGCATCACTTGCCCCAGAGCCCCTAGCTATACCTTGTGGCTAATAGCCACTGATGGACCTCTGCTCCATATGCTTATCTAATTCCCTTTTGAAGCCGTCCATGCTTGTAGCACCCACCACTTCTTTATACCCAGATAATGTTTTCTAGGCTATATTCATTTTCAGTATCCAGTTTGGTATATCAGCGTCACTCAACACATCATTGAAGGGTAGTATAGCTGTTTTTTCTACATTTAATTTGTATCTAGAAATTAATAAAAAGGAGTTAAGAAGAGATCTGAGAGGCAAACTAGGTTCCTTAACGTTTGTTAAAAATCACTCTATCATCTGCATAAAGCATTAGCTTACAGCTAGCCGTTTCTAAATGTTACACCACTAATAGTGTCTGAGTTCATCTCCACTATAGCTAGTATCCCTATAGATAAATTAAATAACAGGGCCAACGAGGGGCAACCCCTAACGTTCAAAACAAAAGTCCCCCGGAATCGATGGCTTTACGTCGGAGTTCCTATTCTCCCACAACTGTTCTGTTTTCCTAAAACCGTTCATGCGCATGGTGTCTTGTGCATCATCAAGTCTTTTAACATGTCAGCATAACCGTGTCTTCGTTACCTGTTGTATCAGGCCTGCATCAGACGTCAGGCTCCTAATGTTAACAGATGCTATTTCCAGTGTCTCTTGTTCAGTTTGGTATTCCTCATCTAAAAGACAAAGAAGGCCAAGACGTTAGTCACATTCAGTGTTCTTTTATTTATTTTTTAATTATTGTGCAGTAAACAGTTGTTATGCTAAGGTTTCTTACATTAACAGGAAATCTATAACAATAAATAATACAAGACATAAAAAAAGGATTCCATCCATCACTTATCATCCATCAAATTCAATTTACAGAGTAGGGGGGAAAAAGATTCCTTAAAATCTATTACCTAAACTGCTGCTAATGATTCAGATTTCGACTTACACCTGCTGCTGTCTGATCTATTTTTTATAAACCTGTTACTCAGATATATATACTCTAGGGTCACAAGGTGTCCTCTCTTTTTCGAGTTAGTGGGACTGGTCAGGTACCAGTGGCCCGTCTTTCTCTCTCTTAATCTGAGCTCTACTGGGTTTTTTCATGTGTCCGTTATGCCTTACTTCAAAGCAACACAGAAGAACTCTTTGCTGATGCAGCTATGTCATAAGAATGCACCTGTAGCACTTGACAGTCAGAACAGAATCGTTTATTTCTATCAAATGCATGAAAAATATTTACGTCATACTTTTTTTTTGGTCAAGAGAGGCATATCTTTCGTTCATTGACTCAAGGAAGTCTACTTACCACACAGGCTTTCAGACAAAAATAATATAACCCTGATTGAAATACTCGAGCAAGAAAAGCATTCCGCGCTTTAGGAAGAGGGAAATATTGAATGCATAATTTACAACATCAGATTAAAATTAAAAGTAGCAGCTTGAATCTTTAGTGCAGCCAAGATACCACTGGAGAGATGTGATTTGCATTTCCGAACAGGAGACTAAGTGGTAGTCCTCCAAGCAGTGAGGAAAGGCTACAAAAAGCGGAGATATCAAAGAAGGATGTTTAGAAAATGCAAGATCTGATGTTTGGTATTGCTTATTTACTGTCTATTCCAGTTGTCTTTGTTGTTTATGTTATTTTTTTTGTATTATGTTTCATGCTTGTGTATGTGTTGGTTGTACTAAATACATATTGTCAAATTTTTAAAAAAGAGAGAGAGATGCTCTTAAATTGCCATAGAACTTGCACGTGAAGAAAAAGTCTCTGGGTTTCAGGCACCTCGAGTCTGCGAGAACAAAATCCTTTAACCATACAGCATATTAGAAAATATTCCAAAAAGATCAGCAATTGGTACGGCACTACAATGGCCCAGGGAGAAGAGACAGTGATAAGAGGGAACCGTAAGACAATAAAGATACTTATTACTGGCAAACGGTCTTGATTGAGTAAAGCCCAGGTACAATGGAAACTCAACATCAAAAAAACGAAGGTCATGGCATCCGGCCCCATCACTCCTCGGCAAATAGAAGGGGAAGTCGTGGAAGCAGCGACAGACTTCATGTTCCTGGGATCCAAGATCACTGCAGACGGTGACTGCAGCCATGAAATTAAAAGACGCCTGCTCCTTGGGAGGGAAGCGATGGCAGACCTAGACAGCATAATAAAAAGCAGAGACATCACCCTGCCAACAAAAGTCCGTATGGTCAAAGCAATGGTATTCCCAGTAGTCATGTATGGCTGCGAGAGTTGGACCATAAGGAAGGCCGAGCGCCGAAGAATGGATGCTTTCGAATTATGGTGCTGGAGAACTCTTGAGAGCCCCTTGGACTGCAAGGAGATCGAATCAGTCAATCCTAAAAGAAATCAACCCTGACTGTTCCCTGGAAGGCCAGAGTCTGAAGCTGAAGCTCCGATACTTTGGCCACTGAATGAGAAGGGAGCCCTCACTGGAGAAGACCCTGATGCTGGGAAAGACTGAAGGTCAAAGAAGAAGAAGGGGGCGGCAAAGGATGAGATGGTTAGACAGTGTCATCGATGCAACGAACATGAAATTGAGCGAACTCCGGAGCACGACGGAAGACAGGAGGGCCTGGTGTGATGTGGTCCGTGGGGTCGTGACTGTGCGACTGAACAAGGACGACAACGGAGAACAAATATGTTTGGAATCTGATAGAAGGTGACTACTGTCTAATAGCTAAAGCCGTTTTTAATCATAGCGTACAAGCTCTATCAAAGTCTAGCTCAGGCAAGCCAGAAAGGGGGGGGGGGACCTAATCCTATTATTTTAGAATCCCAAAATTAGAACTGTGGATTTTTGAAAGAATCAGAAGAAGAATTTTCTGCACTTACCTTTGGGTGAGCCTGTATCTTGAATGGGATACCTTTCGGCCTGCCTCCAAAAAATGGAGAGAGAACAGTTTGTCAAGTGTGTTTGGTACAATGATCTCGCATAAAGTGTTGGGTTTTAGCCCCATAAAGTCACCTTGCCCTGCCCTGGATGGCCCAGGCCAGGAGACAGATGGAACCTAAGAACAGGGTCTCAGTTAATTACTCTCAGCATCCCACAGTTAAGAAGCTGTCACAAATTTGGTATATTTATTTCCTTCACTGTGTTTGTCAAGTGTGTTTGGTACAATGATATCGCATAAAGTGTTGGTTTTTAGCCCCATAAAGTCACCTTGCCCTGCCCTGGATGCTCTAGGCTAGGAGACAGATGGAGCGTAACAACAAGGTCTCAGTTAATTACTCTCAGCATTCCACAGTTAAGAAGGGGACATCTGCCCAGCTGTCACCAATTTGGTATATTTATTTCCTTCACTGTGTTTTCTCCTGGAATTCAACCCAAACAAATGGTGACCATATAAGAAGAAGAAGAGATTGGATTTATACCCCCACCCTTCACTTGAAGTCTCAGAGCGGCTTCCAATCTCCTTCCCTCCCTCTCCCTACAACAGACACACTGTGAGGTAGGTGGGGCTGAGAGAGCTCCTTCGAGAACTGCTCTTGAGAGAACAGCTCTGAGAGAACTGTGGCTTGCCCGAGGTCACACAGCAGCTGCATGTGGAAGAGTGGGGAATCAAACCCGGTTCTCCCAGATTAGAGTTCGCGCTCCTAACCACTACACCAAACGGGCTCTATAAACTAAGCTTGTTATTCCAGTTTGGCCCTTCCATCTGTCAAACACCTTTTATTATCCTTATGCTAATTTGCTGCCCACCCTCTGCCTATATGCATGGACGGGTAATGTCCATTTCAGTATATCTGAAGAAATGTGCTTTGCACATGAAAGCTTATCCCTCGCACAAAACTTTGTTGCTCTTAAAGGTGCCGCTGGACTCAAACTTTGTACACAGATATGTTAGAAGACTGTCCGATATCACCTACCTCTTCCAAGGATAAAGTGCTGGGGTCTGTATCTTCCACAGGCTCTCTAGTTGCATGTTCTGCCAAAGACAAATAAAGGTTTTAAGGTCATCAGTACATCAACCTATAACTGACCAACCAGGACTCCCAAGATCCACCATGGGATCCCCTGACAAAGATTCCACTCACCCACCCCACCCCATAACCCTGATCCAATCATAATCTGTCAGTCATTTTGTAGCAGGCGTAACTCATTAGATCAGGGGTGTCAAACATGCGGCCCGGGAGCCGGATCAGGCCCCCGAAGGGCTTCTCTCAGGCCCGCAGTGGAACTGGCTGTCTACTGCTTCTTCTTTCAGTTCTGCTGCTGCTGCTGTGTCATTGTAGGATTGCAGCTTACAGAGATACACACCTGAACAGCATACTCAGGATCGCAACAGCACAGACATTTTGATGCAATAATTCAGTGCAAGAGGTGTCAGAAATCAGACACCGTTAAATAAACAAATATGGGAAGAGCGCTGATGTTTTAAGCATGTTTTTATTTTAAGTTAAAAAAACCCACCCTTTGTGTTTGTGTCCTTTATAAAGTTTATATCTCTGCTACCTGGCGTTACGTTTTATGACACACATGGCCCAGCCCAACAAGGTCTCATTTATGTCAGATCCGGCCCTCATAACAAATGAGTTCGACACCCTCGCACTAAAAAATAAAACCAGCAATCTCAAAATTGGCCATCAGCTTCAGGATGATTATGGAAGTTCCGGGGTAAAAAATGAACGAAACTGGAATATCTCGGACCAGGTTGTCTCCAGGCCCCCGCATGCTATTTCCAATGGAAGCTCACCTTGTATCGTTGTTGGACTACCATCTGGGAGACATAGGTTCGAATCCCCATCGTGCTATGGAAGCTTGCTGGGTGACCTAAAGCCGCTTCCGTCATTCCCTCTCCTTCATTTTATCCTCACCACAACCCTGTGAGGTAGTTTGGCCTGAGAGTGCGTGATTGGCCCACGGTCACCCAGCGGGCTTCCATGGCCTAGCAGCAATTCGAAGCTGGGTTTATCCAGATCCTGGTCTACCAGTCATGCCCAGCAAGGGGCTTTGAAGGCAAGTGGGAAGCAGAGGTGGTTGGCCATGGCCTTCCTCTGCAGAGTGCTCCTTGGTGGTCTTCCATCTGAGGCTTATGGCCACCCCAGCAAGGGGCTTTCAGGGCAAGTGAGAAGCAGAGGTGTTTGGCCATGGCCTTCCTCTGCAGAGTCTTCCTTGGTGGTCTCTCATCCAAGACTTATGACGACCCCAGCAAGGGGCTCTCAAGGCAAGTGAGAAGCAGAAGTGGTTGGCCATGGCCTTCCTCTGCAGAGTCTTCCTTGGTGGTCTCTCATCCAAGACTTATGACGACCCCAGCAAGGGGCTCTCAAGGCAAGTGAGAAGCAGAAGTGGTTGGCCATGGCCTTCCTCTGCAGAGTCTTCCTTGGTGGTCTCTCTTCCAAGACTTATGGTGACCCCAGCATGGGGTTTTCAAGGCAAGTGAGAAGCAGAGGTGGTTTGCCATTGCCTTCCTCTGCAGAGTCTTCCTTGGTGGCCTCCCATCCAAGACTTATGGTGACCCCAGCAAGGGGCTTTCAAGGCAAGTGAGAAGCAGAGGTGGTTGGCCATGGCCTTCCACTGCAGAGTCTTCCTTGGTGGCCTCCCATCCAAGACTTATGGTGACCCCAGCAAGGGGCTTTCAAGGCAAGTGAGAAGCAGAGGTGGTTGGCCATGGCCTTCCTCTGCAGAGTCTTCCTTGGTGGTCTCTCATCCAAGACTTATGACGACCCCAGCAAGGGGCTCTCAAGGCAAGTGAGAAGCAGAAGTGGTTGGCCATGGCCTTCCTCTTCAGAGTCTTCCTTGGTG